TGAAAGATTGGCCGTTTCCGCCAGCCCCGCCTCGGTGAGGAGAAACGAGCGGCCGCCCGGTGCTCTGACGGGCAGCCGGGCGGGCGGCGTTTTCCTATTTGCAAGACTTGGACACATGTGATTAGTTTGGAGAAGTCGTGCGGCCTCTTCTTGACGAATGATGTCATCAAGGGTCGGCTCCGATCGCCGCGCGTCATTTGAAGACTTGACGTAGAATGCTGCGCTGTCTGCAGTGTCCTCTGACGACTGTGAAAAACACGCTCATGGATCGTAGTCAGCCCAGGAGATTATTACGTGAGGTGGATGCAAAAAAAAAAAGTCTACACACCCCTGTTCAAATGCCAGGTTTTTGTGTTCTGAATAAAATTCGCCCTCCCCCATTTTCCACGGGCGTTTCAGCGTTTCACGCGGCCTCAGAATTGCGACGTCCGGGTCCTCGAGCACATTCGCAAGTTTTGCGGCGAGATGACCCGACTTTCCCTCGACGCCGCCCGCCTCATTTCTCCCGCTCTCGACTTTTCTGGCCAGAAGCTGATTAGAGCACATCACCTCCGACGCGGCCTCCCCGCAGACCGCGCCTCCGCCGTGGCTCTGCCGAGAGCTGCAGGAAGGTCCTCGTACTCGTGAGCGCGCCACACACTTGTCAGCTCGTCCTTTTTAATTTGACGATTTCGCCCTCTGGGACGTCCTGTCGGCCGACTCAACAATCGGGGAGGGCGAGGGGCCGAGCGGCGTTCGCCGTCATCCTCTGCGGTGTCGCCGGCTCGGGAAGGAACCTCGTTTTTCCATCTTCCTCGTTCGAAGTAGTCCGCCTTCAATGGAGCGGCCGTGCCGCATGATCGGCGTTGGGCCGCAGGGCGACGCTAACGCTTGTTGGAGAATTGCTAACAAACAATGCGGGGTTCCTTGTGAAATTGCGAGGTCATTAAAAGTCAGCGGGTAGCTTTTAGGGCGAGAGCCCCGACATCTGGCTGACATTTCGGTGACTTTTCAGCACTCCCAACTCTGTCTTCTGACTGTCAATTAATTTGTTTTGTTTTGGGGGGGAACTTTGCCGCATCTTTGTTTGAACGTTCAGTTCGGAATAGAGTCAAAAGAATTCTTATTATTCTTTTTTTAAAACGGGCATCTTTGTCGACAATGCGGCATATTTGTCTTCTCTTGTGGTGTGGCCGCCGTCGAGCGCCTCGTTGCCTCGGCACGGAGAAGTTCCGAAGATGGCGCAAATAGGTCACGTCGTCAACCTGCCGCGGCAAAGAATTTCAACATTTGCATAGGCCGCCTCCTGCGGGAGTTGAGATTTGAAAAGTAAGCAAAGCGCGTGTGTGTGTGTGTGAGAGTGTGAGAGAGATTTGACCTGCAAGCAATCTCAGGAGGGCCGAGCGCTGGGAGAGTCTAATCAGACTCTGGCTGCCGCTTGTTCCCCGGGTCTGCGCCTTCCCGGCCCTCAGGCCTAATTAGGACCCGTGTGCACCATCCTTGGAACTGCTCGCGGTGGCGTCTGCTGCTCACCGACAGCATCTTTGTGTGGATGTCTGTGTGTGTGTGTGTGTGTGTGTGTGTGTGTGTGTGTGTGTGTGTGTGTGTGTGTGTGTGTGTGTGTGTGTGAAGATCTGGATATGTGCTGCTGCTATGCAAGGAACGACGGCGACAGGCGGGGGGCGTCACAGTGAGTGAATGCACATCACCGACGTCCCCGCCTGGAGGTCACGTTGGGGCAGAGCCTAAAAATTAAAAAAAAAATGCGGATAGGTAAGCTTTGAGGGTGCCAAGCATGAAGAGCATCTTTGAAGTTTTTTTTTTTCGCCACAATCAAGAAGTTAAAAAAAAAAGTGTGAGAAAATACTATGCAGGATCCTCAAATGATCTGACAAAGGAGGAGATTTCAAGAGGGAAGGCTGTTGGTGGAACAGGTCAAAGGTCAAAGTACAGCAAGCTGCTTCAAATTGTCCCCCAGCAGTATCTTGATTTTTAAAAAAATTTTTTGGATGAATTTGTTTGTATTGCTTTTCCTTTTGTGAGTTTTCTGCACGTCCTATTCTTGTTTTTCTGTTTGCTGGTTGACTTGCTCTTTCTTCAACATTCTCTCATTTTATTGGCTGACTGACAGGAAGTAAAAGAGGAACAGGAAGTGGAGAAGGAAATCGAGGTGACACCTTTGAGCATGGAGGGAACCAAGCTTTCCAAACGGAGTGGCAAAATCCAAGAAAGACTCAGGCAGGAGTAAAGTGAAAGAAAGTGCGTCGCTTGACAAAGATGGCCCCCAACGACTGATTGGACTTTGGGAGAATCCCGTGGCCCTGACTTTCCTGGGATCGACTCGGACTCTGCTGCCTGCGCCCGGCTTGGAATCTGGCTCGCCACAAAAGCTAAGTTTTGCACCCTCTTCTTTCTTTTGCCAACCATTCATTTCACGCGTTGCTTAGACGTGCAAACACAAGAGCAGGGACAAAATTGCCCCTTGTGCAACTTGTGCTGAGCTGGGCGGCCATTTTGACACCACCAGACAGATTGGCTTGCTGCAAATGCCGAGCTTCTCAACGTGAAATGGTTGGATTGGTGATGATGACGCTTGACTTAGATGTGAAGTTGTTTTTGCTGATTTGGATGCCATGCGTGTCTTTTTTTTTTTTCTTGTGTGTCACTGAACTGCCACGCCCTTCCTCAACTGTGTGTTATACGAGCATTGTTTGGATCTGTGTGGCACCCTGAACCAAATGAGGTCTTCTGATCATTTTTGTTTAGCTTGTAGCAGCAACCTGAGTTCACTTCCCATTCGCTGAGTCTGAATGCTAGTGTGAATGCTTCAATCAATCAAACTTTATTTAGATAGCACTTTTCATACATAAAAATGCAACTCAAAGTGCTGTACAATGCTTTGAAACATTTGAAACGTACATGAAAAAAAACGAACAAAAATTGCATAAATTATATCTATCTATATCTATATATCTATATATCTATATATATCTATATATATCTATATATATATATATAGATATATATATATTTTTTTAATCAAAAAAGGGTGCCACGCTCTTTGAGAGAATATTCACAGGCATCAAATCCCTTTGTTGGCCAAGCGTGGGATGACTCCAGATCCCTTTTGACTGGGGCGATGGGCGGAATTGAATGGATCAACACGCAAGAAAATCCCCTAAAGTGCTTTTGCTTCATACCTTAAAGTACCGATCAAGGCGTCTGACCGTCACTTGATAGTCCTTCTTCCCAGAATACCCTTTTGCTCTGCTTTTCGATGAATAGGCTCGGGAAGCGAAATGGTCAAGCGGAGGTGATGCCCCGCCAGGTTTGATTGGATTTGCTGCACGCCTCCTCGGAATCGGTCCGTCTGCCCTGTAAAAGTACGGGTCGGCCCCAACTACTAGTCCCACTTGAAATCGTGCCCCACCATCTCATAGAACTTGACGTTGAAGGGTCTGTAGAAGTCGCGCAGCTGCTCGACGGCGTCCCGGTCGATCTGCGCGTGAGTCCTGCCCTTGGACTTCCCCAGGCAGCGAGGCGAGCCGCTGCTCTCGGGTTTCTTGAGACACGGGAAGCCTTTGGTGCGGTTGAAGTAGAAGTGCTTGTCGGTGACGATGCGCTTGAGCCCCAGGAAGTCCTGCACCCGGGCCAGCTCGCCCGCCGGGTCGGCGATGAGGCGCTCGCCGCTGACAAAGTGCATCTGAGCCAGGGGGAAGTAGCGCAGCCAGTTCTCCAGGTGAAGGGCGTACAGGCCGATGCGGATGGCGTTCCAGGAGGTGTCCACCGGGCCCGAGCTTTGGTTCCGGAAGGCCAGTTCCCGGAAGCTCGGCAAGTCGGGGGTTTTCGACAAAGTCTGCGTGTAGTCCGATATGGCTCGGGTGACGGGGTCGCGCACCACCACGATGAGCTTGGTGTCTCGGGACATGGCGGCGATCCTGCGCGGCGTCTCTTTTGTCACAAAGTAGCTCGGCGTTTTCTCCATGGTGAGTTGCCCTTCAAGGGTCCTCGGCATCGCACCTCTGAAGGAGAGATCAAAAGCAAAGGCTTCTCGTTTACAACCTCTCAAATGATTTTCCTTACGGCGCGGCACGTGGCAAAGGCTGCACAAGCTAAGCCGCAGCCAGCAGGCGACTGGGCTGACTTCCTCACAAGGGAAAAGTCTGGCACCGCAGCCCTCTGAGAGCGCTTCCCATTTGTCAACTTTGCGGAATCTCGAGCTTCACCTTTTCGCCTGACAACGCTTGCGCACGGCCAGCTCCGCCGCTCAATAACTAGCTGTCCGGCCGCACAGTTTTGACCTTTTACTCCTCGGACGCAAACGAAGGTTTGTGATGGCCTTCCGAAGCCCCAAAGTCTGAGTTGGCATTTGACCTTCTCTGGGGGCTGACAATCAAAATGCCGGAGCGCCGCTGACCACAATACCGAGGCCGATATCGCTTCATGGCAAATCATGAACGGGAATGTCGGTGCCATATGATTTTTCAGTCTTCATTTCGACCCTTTTAAGTGGATGCTGGCGTCACGTCTCACAGTTAAACCTTACATAAATGAATGTGTGTGTGTGTATATATTGTGTGTGTATATGTATCTAAAATACCTTAAGATGCATTTGTGCTGTGGACATTGCTCTTGCACTGATTCAGTCAGAGGTTTCGCCCTACCTGCTGTGTGTCGAGTATTTCGATCCTCCACTTTTTCCAGAATCAATAGTTCGGACAGCATCAATCAAAATTCTGCAGAACTTCTCCCGGAGTATTCGACGAGTGCACCTCATGCGCTGTCCGCCCCCAACATCCTGCGAGCTTACCTGTACCACTCGAGCCCTCTGCCGTAGTGCCTGTCAAAAAAGTGCGTCTCGGTGCCAGCGGCTCTCACGTCCGGGTGGATGCGTATGAACTCCAGAACCGCCCTGGTTCCTCCCTTCTTCACGCCAACGATGATGGCGTTGGGCAACTTTTTATTGCCGAACTTGGGGTGCGCCACGGGCGGACTGGGCGCGTCGCTCCCGGCGCGCGGCGGCGCAAGCGCCCGCGATAACGGCGGAGGAGACGCGCAGGCTCCGCCGGCCGCCGGCGCCACCCCACCGCAGTTTTTGACCTCTGTGTTTAAGATTTAGGCCCATCCACCCCCACCTTAATACCCCCCCCAATCAGGAAGTCCCACTTCCTGTCCAGATGCTGCATTTCCTCTTCTACTAATTCAGAACTTACCAGCCCTTTAAAAAGCAAGACGGGAGCACTGTGGCTAAATTCTGATTAGTCAGTCGGAAAGTTGTTGAGTGCTGCGAGTGTTGTAAAAATGGAGAAAGCTTCATTAAAGCTGCAGTAGCAGTGACCACAAGCATCTGTTAAATGCCACTGGAATAATGTCGAACCGGGGGGGGGGGGGGGGGGGGGGGTGGAGGAAAAAAAACTGTCCTCACAGTGGCCCGCTCTTGCGGCCATGGTCATAACGCACCGCCGGGCAAGACGCGCGCGGTCTGACCACTTAGTCTGGATCTCTGCACACGCAAGATCTTAAAAAAAAAAAAAAAAAAAACCTCGCCGTGACGTCACATCAAGCTTTGCATTAAACCCGGGGGGGGCTC